ACATGTAATCATGACACATCAGATGACAAAGTCAGATGATGTTGCAAAGTGACATTTATTAATCATCAGGTAAAAACGTCAACAATCACAGGACAATAAAATGTCCAGTCTGATTTCCACATAACTGAAATGTGAGTAATTAATCTGTGTTGGCAAAACTCCTACTGGATGGATGGATAGAGAGAGAGAGAGAGAGAGAGAGAGAGAAAGAGAGAATCTCATATTTCAGGCACTTTCACATTGACTTCAATTTAGAATCCAGAGTATTTGTCCAGTTTTATTGTTCTACACAGCTAACGTTACGCTGCAAGCGATACATCGATCCTTCAGAATTAAAACCTCTTACTATCGTAACAGGATCAAATGTGATTGTGAGCTAGGAAGTGGTTGAATGTTTAACGTTAGCTAACGAGCTGTCGAACATGTTTAACCTTGAAACATGGTCTGATGTTCCTCATGTGTTCCAGATGTGTCTCTTCAGTTTCTCATCAGATCCTCGTTACACGACTGAAAACCTGCAGCAGTTCAACTTTACTCTGTCCATCGGGTGAATATGGTGAATTAAGCTCCAGTACGTGAAAACTATTTGAAACTCTACATCAGATTTTGGACAGAACGTATTCACTGTGTGCCAACGGAACTTAGCATGAAAATGAAGTAGCTAGCGTCTCTAAATGAAAAAGTTAAGCTAACATAGGTTGATAACTGCATAACACGGAGCGTGTGCTCATTGGTTGCTCAGCAACTGGAGGACCATCCTTCTCATAAAACTTCCCTCTCAGGTCTCTCATGTTCTGGACCTCCATCCTGGCTTGGCTGCAGATTTCTCTCCTTCTATGAGAATGTTGATGAACTCTGGAGGAACTCTTCTCCTCTGTCCACTTTAGCCATAACCTCTGCTATTCCTCTCATGTCTGTCAGATACTGGACTCGTTGCTTCCAGCCCGTCTTGGCCTCAGATTTCTCTCCTTCTATCAGCATGTCGATGTACTCTGGAGTGGACAGAGGATTTGGCTTCAGTGCGATCTCTTTAAGTCTGTTTAGACACTTGGCAGATTTACCCATCAGTTTGTTGATCAGTGCCTGCACCTCAGTCTGCACACGATCATACTCAGCTTTCAGTTTGTTGATCAGTGTCTGCACAGGTATCTTAGCCTTCGTGGCTGTCAGGAACTGTTCTTCCAGCTCTTTTACCGTTTTTATTTCTATGACTTCCTGATGACAGTTTGTGATGAAAGTTCCAGAACCAGAAGTATCACGTTGAAAAGCCTGATTGACTTTGACTTTGTTCAGAAAGTTCTTGTTTCTTCTGATCTCGGCCTCGTGATCTTTCAGTTGTTTAGTCATCTCATTTATCGCCTTGAGCTTGAATAACCCAATTTTAAACTGCTTCTGCAAACTCTCAACTGAGATCTCGAGCTGCTCTCTTTCTCTGAGGACGTCCTTCGTCATTGTCAAGCTTTTGGTCTTCATTACATTCAAAGCAACAAAAAACCTCTTCATGCTTTTTATCCCCATGGTCCAACACATCTCATCGAAGCCTCCCTCCTCATCTTCCTCACTCGCGCTCTCCGCTGAACACGATTTGTTTTGAGCAAACAACGCTGAATTATTGAACTTGAAGTAAAACGGCAGTCCCTCTTTTGTTCTTGGACACGGGACATCCACAGCGTTGATCGCCTCGAGAACTGGTGGACGTTTGCCGTCTGCAAATGTCACAAGAATCCTGGTGTTTTCTGCCACGTCGTTGCCGAAGATTGAGAGCACGGAATCAAACACGTATCTCTGTGTTGGTGTGAGTCGTACTGAAGAAGCCTGAACTACGACACACACAGCATCGATTTCACTGCCACCAAAATAAACAGAGAAGAGATTTTTTAGCTGCTCTATGATCATCATGTCTCTCATGACTCCTCTCATATCTCCAAACCCTGGAGTGTCCACAACAGTCAGAGAGAAGGGGATCTTAAACCCCTCTTGGTGGTTCAGTTTGTACACAGTGACTTCAGAAGTCTGGCTCTCAGCTTGTGATCTAGACTGATCCTCGGCTACTAATTTAAATCGAAAATCGTCCTTCCACTCCACACCTACAATGTAGTTGATAATTCCATTGATGAGTGTGGACTTTCCTGAGCCGGTCGCTCCGAGGAGCATGATAGTACGATTCTGCCTCATGCTTTCTTTACCTAAGATAAACCTTCTGCATCCCTCTATATCAATATCTTCTTCTTTCAGTGACAGCTTGTAAAGTGAGGGAGATTCACGATTTATCCTGTTGCTTATGTGTTTCAGGTGTTCTGCTAGACGAGCAGATTCACGTTTTGTTGTGCAGACATTCACACAGATGCTTTCCTTGCTTCTGCCAGCTACACCACAGTCACATCTGACCCTGACAACGTACTCTGTCTCAGACGGAAGCTCGGATATCATCGCCTTTTCAGCTCCTGAGATTGTTTGGTTCCACTGGAGAGCTTCTCCTGTCACTGCATTGTCTGTTTGGGCGTACTCCACAATGTAGCTCCGAACATGGACATCTTGTCCAAGCTCAGCGGGTCTCTGCCAGCTAACGGATATCTCACTTGAGTTTGGTTCAACCTGAGGTTCTCCAGGAGGGCTGCAGGGCAGAGTTCTAATGGTTCCACTGACCTCACTGACTGGTCCAAAACCTACTGAGGTGACAGCTCTGCATCTGAACACATAGTCTGTGTTAGGACTCAGGCCGCTCACTGTGACGTCTCCGTCGTCTGATGCCGTCTTTTGTTGCCATCCATCTTCTCCATGGACACAGTACTCAACTGAGTAGGAGGTGATGTTCTCTGCTCCAAATCTGGGAGGAGAAATCTTCAGTGTCACACTGTTGTGGTTTATTTCACTTTCTTTCACAGTTTCAGGCTTTGAAGGTGGTTCAAAGTTCTCGTTACTGGAAGAGCCGCCTTCATAAAGGTAGATGCTGGAACCTTTCTGTGTCTCATTTGTCAAACCCACTGTGAGGAACGTTATATTCTTGTTCTCCTTGTTGGCCTCTGAAAAATCACTGAAAAGCTTTGCTTTTTTGCTCATTTCATCAGGTACTTTGTTTGAAAGGTACCACTGCTCCTTCTCCACGTCATAGATATGTGGATCTTGAGGCTGGTCTGGTGTGGTTGGTTCTGACTGTAAATAGTTTGATAGAGCTGAGAGGTACGGCTCAGCATCTCCCAGTGAGGTGAAAACTAAACACACAGCATACTTTGTATTGAGAGTTTCCTTGTACAGATGATTCTCAGATGAGATGATCTTTGTGTTTTTCATTATGTTGGTGAAAGATCTTAAGGTGTAGATTTCTCTCTCTTTACAGTCCATCCACTCAGTCAGGTCTTTGCTGTTGAACGGGGAAGAATGTCTCTTCTTCAGTATCTCTGCAAGCACAGCCTCCTCTTCACCTCCTCCTCGTATAGATGGAAGTCTCACTGATAAGGTTCGTTGGAATTCAAGTTTGAACTCAGAGCACATTTCTTCGAAACGTTTAAGTTTTTTGTCAATCTGTGGAAACTGCTTTGCTGTTGTTGTTCTCATTGCATCGTTGCATCTCATTTCCAGCTCACTGAAGTCCTCCAGGACTTTCTGTGCTTCCTGAACTAATCTTATACTAATCTGACGGACGAGTCGAGCCGCAGAAGAATCCAAACTTGTCAATGGCAACAGCCAGACTTTCACTGGAACTGCTTTTTCCCCATTGGATCCCAGCATCTGCGGCAGGCTTTGACAGACCTGTACAGCATCCTGAAAGGACACAGGATTCTTTTCAAGAAAAAAGTCTCCATGGAATTTGCAGGAGAATTGTTCAACCTTTTCTCTGTCCTGGTTATTCAGCATCACGGAACCTTCACCATCTATAGTGATGCATTGCATCTTCTTGATCATTACTTTCAAGTTGCCTTGAACGTCTTGAAGATCTTCATCTTCTGACACCTCACGATCAAACACAAAGAAGGCTTTTGCCCCATAAAGAATAGCTGTGACTACATGTGTCGCTATTCCTTTCTCAAAAACATACAGGTGTTTCACGTTGCCTCTTCCAAGATGGTTCATGGAAAGTTCCTGGAACTTAGTGGTAGTTTCATACTTCAGTGTTACTCTGGCCTGATTTCTGGATGTCTTGTGATTATTCAGGTACTTGGCCGATCCGTCAACATCAACCAGTCCACTAAAGACACTGGCCTTCAGTGATGCTTCAACATTTAGTGCTGAAGATTTATCCTTAATCGATTCAGATGCAATGATCTCTAAATCATTATAGTTCTGAGGACTTTCTCGAATATCTTTTCTCAGGTCATCGTGATCCCACAATGTCATTCCTACAAAAAGAAACAGAAATCAGGTTGAGCTTGTTTGTTACTCATCTCAATTCAAAGGGAAAGTCTCAGCGTCTACGATGGTTTATTTAGAGTTTTCACGTAGATGCTGCGACACACTTCTGTCCACTGAGTTGTAGTTACAGACGCACAACATCTCAAAGGAATTGTGACTTTAGATTCTTTGTCACAAAAGTATGAGTTCATAGTTGAATTGTTATGAATTCATGAAATGAATGTTGAATGATGTTCACTCTAGTTTTCATCCAGCAGAACAATGACACAGTGAATATGAACCTGTTCCGTTGTTAAATCTGGTTTCTGTGTGTTTTGCTTGATCTCATGTTAAATGTTTGCACCAGAATGAACCAGTGAGCTGAATTTCTTTCATGGATCATTAATAAAAATGGAGAAACAACTGAATATTGCGAGTCCTTACCAGGCACGAGTGAATCTCTGCGACAGTCGTACAGCATCCCCAGGCAGAAGGGCCGGCCGAGCGCCGCCACCTCCATCACCCCGTCGATGTCCATCGTTCAGCCTGAAGTGGACAAAACAACAAGTTAGTTCACTTCTCTGACGCTACGACCTTTCAGCACTTTATATCTTATTATATGTTATACACAATATATTTCAATAAACGAGTCACAGCGTCTCATCATGAAGAAAACTATGATGTCATCTTCTGTGTTTG